GAGACCGCAACCGGCCTGGCGAGCGGCGAAAGGGTAGTGCGGTCTCGAAAGAAGGAGCGAGAAGCTCCGGAGTCAAGTGTGAAAGTGAGGGAGGACGAGGACGACTCAGTACCTGAGAACGCAGTCTCACCAGTACCTGAGAGCGTAGACGCACTGGCACCTAGAGCAGCAGCCTCACAAGCACCTAGCGCAGCAGTACCAATGCCCGGGTCGGGTTGGAAACACCGGTAACCCTCATTCTCCTCACTATAATCCACAACATACATAGCAGTAAGGATAGCATCAAAATCAAGATCAAAGATCGCTACACCAGCCCTGAGAAGCTCATCCCAGCGAGGGATCTCACTAGCCCCAGGGAACTGCTGACGCCAAGCGTCCGTCAGGCGGCCAAAGCAGCGCTGGGTGGCGTGGGCACCCCCACACTGCTCACCCGCGCGGTCGCCGGAACGAAGAACGTAGGTGCAGGGACCAGTACCCCCACCCCTCTGACGCCCAGCGTACCACTCACGAAGCTGCTGAGGCGAAGGGATGTCCTGTGAGCGCTGCTGCTGCTGCCGGTGCGAGCGCTGGCCACCACCACCGCCGCTACGCTGCTGGGTACCACCCCGACCAGCTCCACCTCCTCCACCACTACTGCCTCCGCCGCTGCCTCCACCACCACCGCTGGCACCACCACCACCGTCTCCGCCGCTGCTGCCACCACCACCACCACCACCCCCTCCACTAGTCCCGCCGCCACCCCCACTCCCTCCGCCGCCACCGCCGCCACCGCCACCGCCCCCCCCCAGCTCCACCCGCGCCCTTGCCTCCCTTGCCCTTGCTGGAGCGACGTCTCCCACTAGGGGCAGACGCCGCGCCGACCGACTCAAGACCAAGCAGGTCGGCAGCAGCAGCAGAGGCAACAGAGGGCAGCAAGGGGGAAGGAGAGCACCCCTCAAAGATGGGGGTGCGAGGGTCACCACGAGAAGCACCTACAGCGACTATGCTCTTCTCCGCTGCAAGGAGGGCCTTCTCGAGGAGGTCGACGGTGAGAGTGGTGGGACAGACTGCGAGAAAGTGGTCCCTGACGACGCGAAGGGAGTCAGGGAGGCGCGCTACTACGTAGTAGAGAGCGATGTACATGGGAGGGGGGTTCCTAGCGCAGAACTCAGCAGGAAGGGCGGCGCGGTAGCGAGTGTCACTAGTGCGGAGGTGCGTAATGAGGTCAGCGACAGTGGGAAAGGCAGAGAGGTCAGGAAAGAGGTAGGGAAGCATGAGACGGCTCAGTGCAGCAGTGGCAGGGGAGGAGTAGCGCGCAACTACAGCGTCGTACAAGATCTGAGCACTCTTGTACTGACTAAAGTGCGTACGCTCAGAGGTAGGGAGGTGGCGACGCACAGCAAGACGTGCAGCAGCATCGCGGGTGGCCCACTTAGAGCGGACAGCGGGATCAGCATCAGCAGCAGGAGCAGGAGAGGCGCCAGAGGTGAGGTCAAAGAGAGAAAGGTCATCAGCCCTGTCGCACTGTAAGAACAGCTGCAGGTCGTCTAGCCAGACCTCAAAATCAATGGCGCGACCCTTAGCGTCAAAAGCTAGGACACTAGGGGTAGCCATGACGGCGACTGTGAAGCAGTGCAAGCAGTAGGGGGGAGAGCACGCAGTGACAGTGGGACTGTGCTCACCAGGCAGGGCAAGTCGCGCAGCTCGACAGAAAAGCAGAACGGCGACCGGGCGGCTCGGGTGTACAGCGGATCGGCTCCCGGGCGGCTCGACGGCAGGGCGGCTCGGGTGCAGGGCGGCTCGGCTCCCGGGCGGCTCGGCTGCAGGGCGGCTCTGGTGCAGGGCGGCTCGGCTCCCGGGCGGCTCGGCTGCAGGGCGGCTCGGGTCCCGGGCTGCTCGGCGACAGGCGGCTCGGGTCGCGTAGAAGTGAGACGGGGCGGGGCCGCGTCAGGGCCGGCGGTAGGGCCGCGTAGGAGCCGGGGCAGGGCCGCGAAGGAGCCGGGGCGGGGCCGTGATAGGAGCCGGGGCAGGGCCGAGTAGGAGGCCGGCGGTGGGGCCGCTTAAGGGCCGGCGCGGGGCCGCGTAGGAGCCGCGTAGGAGCCGGCGCGGAGCCGCGTAGGGGCCGGGGACGGGCCGCGTAAGGAGCCGGCGCGGGGCCGCGGAGGAGCTGGCGGCGTGGCCGCGTAAGGGCCGCGTAAGGGCCGCGTAAGGGGCCGGCGCGGGGCCGCGTAAGGAGCCGGCGGCGTGGCCGCGTAAGGGCCGCGTAAGGGCCGCGTAAGGGGCCGGCGCGGGGCCACGTAAGGGCCGCGTAGGAGGCGACGCGGGGCCGCGTAAGGGCCGGGGCGGGGCCGCGTAAGGAGCAGGCGGCGGGGCCGCGTAAGGAGCAGGGCGGGGCCGCGACAGAGTGGGCGGCGAGGCCGCAGGGGAGAGGGCGACTCGAGGGGTCGCTAAAAAAAATCGCGCCTCGGGGGCGCGCTTCGGTGGGCCCAAAAAAAAATTCGGTCCTGGAGGGACCTAGCTCTATACCATGTGAAATTGAGTAAGCAGGAATGAATGAACTATGAATGAAAGCAGTACAAATATGAAACCCTAACTGGGTTGTACCCCCTATGGGATACCCCACTACAGCCTACACAGCAGTATAAGCTATAGATATGTTCTGACACCCAGGACTGCTGCGCGGGCGCCCACTCGTTTTTTAAGGGGCGAATGGTCAGCTGTTCTTCGGGCGACAGATTTCGGATCAGGACGGTGAAGGCCAGGAGCGATTCGTTGTAGTATTGCGTCTTCTCCTGAGGTGAGCCGCTTGCCGGAAAAGGGTATGATCCGTCGTAGTACATCAAGATCTGAGCGCCCTGAGCTAGGAGTTCGAATTCGAAGCTCCATGTATAGAAGTCTTGTCCATCGAAGGGCTTGGTAGTCCTGAGCTTCGACGTGGAGAGGAACTTGCTCTGCATTGAAGCCATTGCCTCGTAATGTGTTTGTTGTGCTTGAGCCGATCCTTGAGCTCCGCGGTTGTCGAAGGTCAAGGATCGTTCAGATCCAGCTCCTTGAGGATCGGGAGGTCTTCGGGCGTAACTTGAGCCGTTAATGCTCATTGGCTGGTGGCTCTCCAGTGCACTGATGCGGGAGATCAGCAGCTCGAGGAGCGCTGTGTCCACGGTCGTCGTAGTAGAGGCGACATTGGTGGAGGGTTGCACTGGATTTTCTCCAGCCTCTCCGCAGTCTGCGCCTGGCATGTTGATGCCCTTGATGTTGTCGATGTTGATATTATTTTATAAAGAAGTTTTGTTGGAAGCCCCTTTAACAGATCCTATAATCCAAACTAGCTCTCATACCATGTTAGAGTGAGGATCTTGGATAGGATAGGAAGTGCTTTGGTAGAGTTGGTAGCGGAAATCTTGTAAGAACTCATAATATAGTGAATGTAAATGACCAAGTTTATTAAGAGATAGAATACAAGGAATATTATAACTGTTTTACAGGCATTTCTGCAGTGACTCTGACTATTGCACTACCTTCTTGTTATCGAGTCACTGCATGTAACCTGTACGGTTACGCCTGTTGCCATTCCTCGATGGTAAGTCAGGCGTCGGTCCAGACGGTCAACAGTCGCGACAGTTGACTCTTGCGACTGTTGACCTTCTTGCCCTTGATACGGGCTGATCCGATACTACGGATGTTGCTGCTTCGACAAAGTCAGGTGCGGTACTACTGCATCTACGGGAATGCTAAGTATAATTCCCTTCACACTCCAACACATTGGGCTAATCAAAGAGCTTGACAGAATCCATGGCGGAGAGCTGACGGATGTTGAACGGACGGAAGGGTTCTTGTGATCACCAGTGGGTTCACCAGGGTTACCATTTTTTTGTTAACTATATTTAATTATCAGATACTTTTTATGCTTTAGAGAGAGTGAGTCCGATTTTGAGGGAGCACGATGATGGGTGTGTTGTGTGAGCTTGGCCTCCCCCCATTCGTCAGCGCCCAGTTACGCTGGAACTTCTTTACGTTGCTGGGACAAACCAATCACAATCAACGGTCTTTGTCGTGCTGCTTGGCTGGTTGGTAGCCCCTGCGAACGACCCTGCGAAAGAGTTGTACGACTCCGTTCTCAACGACTTCGTACGATTCCTTCGCTGAGGTGTCGAATGCTGCTTCGCGCGAAAAAGCACATCAATCTGCCCATTATGCAGCGTCGTACAATCTCGTCCAGTCTAGGCTCACGTCGCAGCCAGTCGTACACGTAGTCGCATCACGTCGTCCAGACAACGAGATATTTGTGCGATTGGCGGGAGAACAGAAACAGAGGCTCGTTGCTGCTATTCGTTCTTCCTCCCTATCGCAAGAAGCATCGTCTCTATCTGGCGCCGCGCATTGCGCACTACTATCCGTGAATTCGCCTCAGCACTTTATCCGTGCTATCTCCGCTACGCATGCGCATGCGCTGCTTATTTAGAAATGGCTCGACTTGCATTGCCATGACGGCAGACAGTGGATGAAAAGATAAAAGCGCGTAGAATTATAGATGTTATCCCAAGTCACAGGACATTTTTGGCTTGTGAGTCTCGTCAAATAGGTTTCCTTTCTAAAAACCACCCGCCCAGTAACTTATTCTTAGTTCCGCCATTCTCTTCGCTTCAAAAACCGTTCCGCCGCAATTCCCATTGGGTTCCTGACCTCTCGGTTCGTCCGTATCAAGAGCCGCCACGCATTTCGCGTCGGAAATCAAGCCACGAAGCGGAGGGGAACCGTTCGACAAATATTTTGGGCACAGGTGTCTACTTCCAAGCTCAGGTGAGGTGCGTATTTTGGTTCAATTCAACCTATCTCGGCACGTTGACATCGATGCTCGCCCGCGTTCCACCGCATTTTGCTTTTGCGGTCGGATATGCTGCTGGGGCAGGGCGCGCAGGGCACGGTGCAGTACGCGCGGGTGGGGGAGGCTCCCTCTTCCTTTCCCCTACCCCTCTACCCCTTTCCCCTCACCTCTTCCCCCGAGCGCGCAGCATCCAGCCATGAGGGTATTCGAGCTGCTAGGGCTGGGCGCGCAGGACAGCGTGCTGTACGCGCGGGTGGGGGAGGTCGGGGGGGAACAACGACCATGATCTCAACCTTCCTTTTCCTTCCCCCCTCAACCCCACCCTCCCCTTCCCCATGCGCGCAGACATGAAGGCATTCGAGCTGCTGGGGCTGGGCGCGCAGGACACGGTGCAGTACGCGCGGTTGGGGGAGGTGGGGGGCGACGGCGCGGGGGACAACGACCACGATCTCGACCCCCTCGACCACGACAGCCACAACCACGTCGCCAGCTCCCTCTTCCCTCTCTTTTTTGCCCTTTCCCTTCCCAACCCCCACTCCCATCCCCCATCCTTCCCGCTGCGCGCAGCATCCCGCCATGAGGGCATTCGAGCTGCTGGGACTGAGCGGGCAAGAGTCAGTGCAGTACGCGCGCGTGGGGGAGGTGGGGGGCGACGGCGCGGGCGACAACGACCATGATCTCGACCCCCACGACCACGACAGCCACAACCACGCGGGCAGTGGCGCGCGGGGGAGCCCGCAGCTAGGCGCGTCCGCGCGCGGGAGTCCCCCTCCGCGGAAGCAGCAGCAGCAGCGGGTGCCCGGGGTGGTGTTTAAGACGGAGGCTGCGCGCGCTGCTGCTGCTGCGCTGGATGAGGAGATGGCGGGGGGAGGGGAAGGGGGAGGGGGAGGGGGATGGGGAGGCGGAGGAGGGGGGAGTGGTGTGGGGGAGGTGCGGAGACCGCGACAGACTGCTGCTACGCCTTGGTGCTCTGTGAGTGAGGGAGTGAGAGGTCCCTGCCTGTCCCCCCATCCTCCCCCTCCTTCCCCCTTCTCCTCACTCACCAGAAGGCCACCCACCTGTCTCTGGTTGCTCGTTGCTCACTTTCTTTCCCTCGTTCTAACAAGCTAAAAGTTACCTTCGCGGTTGCAAAGCCTGGCACTTACATAAAAACGCTATTAGTAAGAAGCAAAAAAAAGAAACGGTCTTGCTCCCTTTCTCTCACTAGAAGGGCACCTGTCTCTGGATGCTCGTTTGTTCTCGTGCTCCGCCTTGCTCGAGCCTCGACCGAAACCTTTCTCTAGCCAGTCGCCTAGAAACTGATCCCTGGCCCTCTCCCCTCCTCCTCTCCCCCCCCTCCTCTCCCCCCCTCCTCTCCCCCCCTCCTCTCCCCCCCTCCCCTCCCCCCCTCCTCTCCCCCCCTCCTCTCCCCCTCCCTTCTCTCTGACCAGAAAGCCACCTGTCTCTGGGTCCTCGTCTCTCTCGCGCTCTCAATCACACTAACTCAGGTGGGTGGATGGGTGGGAGGGTGGCTGGGTGGTTGGGTGGGTGGGAGGGTGGGTGGGTGGGGGGATGGGGGTCGTTGGGTGGGTGGGTGGGTGGATGGGAAGATGGGTGGGATGGATGGGTGGGAGGGTAGGAGGGTGGGTGGGTGGGTGGATGGGAAGATGGGTGGGATGGATGGGTGGGAGGGTAGGAGGGTGGGTGGGTGGGTGGGCAGTGCAGACCACACTGGCACCTGGCTTTCAGGTGTTTCAGCCGGGTGCAAGTCAGTCAGCCCTCAGTTAGTGTATGTACGTTCGATTGCACTCAGCCCTCAGTTACCTCGTGTTGACATTGACCTCGTGTTGACATTGACTAGACGCCCGCCCATGGCACTCAGGCCTCATCCATTCCCATAAAGCTTGTTTGCCTTTCCACCGGCCTTCATGTATTCTCCCACCTCTCCCTGCTTCTTCTAAACCAACCCTCTGCCGCCCCCCTTCCCCTTTCCCCAACCACAGCTCCTCACGGCTGTGTGTGTGTGGATACAGCCTTGGCTTCAATTCAAGGGCGCACGAGCCGGTGACTCAATACGCCGCTTCTTTTTCCTTCTCGCCCTCAAATCCCTCCTCTTTTCCTCCCCACCCACAGCTCCTCATGGGCATGTGCGGCTACAACCTTCGCTTCAAGGGCGCGTGGGTCACTCTTGTCTACGATGTGAGTAGCGCCGTGCTGCTTTTGAGATGCTTTTTTGAGGCGTGTCTCAGGGAAGCTTCAAGGGCGACCGCGCACGCGTGGGTCACTCTTGTCTACGATGTGAGTGGCGTGGCTTTTGAGCATTCTATAACGGAACGGACTCCTTCACGACGTGGGTGGCATGGCATGGCACTGGCCTGCCTGCCTGCCTGCTATGCTATGCTATGCTATGCTCGCGCTGTTCCTGTCAAAAGTCAAAAGTCATTCTTAGTCGACTCAAAAGTGGCATGGCACTGGCTTGCCTACCTTCTATGCTATGCTATGCTCGCGCTGTTCCTGCTTTGAGACAGTTCGAATCAAGCCACACAGCGAATCTAGAGAGCGCAGCATGTGCAGCACAGCACCTACTTACTACCAGGCCATCCTTTCCCTTGCTAACGTCCTCTCCCTTCCTCTTCCCCACTCTTTCTGCTCCTTCTTTTTCCCAACCCTATTCTTCCCCCCCCATCGCTGTTCGTATCCCCAACCCTGTGATCCCCCTCCCCTCTGCCCTCCTCCCATCACAGCCCAGCACGCGGGCACAGACAACAGAGTCGGTGGCCAGTTTGGAGCACAGCGTGTATGACAACACAGGTGCGCATGGTGATGACATGCAGATGATGACGTGTCAGGATGGATGATGACGTGTCAGGATGGATGGTGACGTGTCATGTGCGGATGACGGGCTGGGCTGGCTGTGCATGGGTGAAAGGGGTGTGTCATCCATGCACAGCCAGCAGCACTCGGAAAGAATTGCGTTACAGTCACAGCACCTGGAACACACCTGCACTCACAGGCGCCTTCCAGGTAGCGTTCAACATGTTTTGAGACGTCTCAAAGCGTTCAACGTGTTTTGAGACGTCTCAAAGCGTTCAACGTGTTTTGAGACGTCTCAAAGCGTTCAACGTGTTTTGAGACGTCTCAAAGCGTTCAACGTGTTTTGAGACGTCTCAAAACGTTCAACGTGTTTTGAGACGTCTCAATGCGTTCAACGTGTTTTGAGACGTCTCAATGCGTTCAACGTGTTTTGAGACGTCTCAAAGCGTTCAACGTGTTTTGAGACGTCTCAAAACGTTCAACGTGTTTTGAGACGTCTCAAAACGTTCAACGTGTTTTGAGACGTCTCAAAGCGTTCAACGTGTTTTGAGACGTCTCAAAGCGTTCAACGTGTTTTGAGACGTCTCAAAACGTTCAACGTGTTTTGAGACGTCTCAAAGCGTTCAACGTGTTTTGAGACGTCTCAAAGCGTTCAACGTGTTTTGAGACGTCTCAAAACGTTCAACGTGTTTTGAGACGTCTCAAAGCGTTCAACGTGTTTTGAGACGTCTCAAAGTGTTCAACGTGTTTTGAGACGTCTCAAAACGTTCAACGTGCCAAAACTCCCCACGTCACGTCACGTCTGCATCTCTAACCTTTTCTGCCATCCGCCCCCGTCTCCTCCTTTGCTGCTCATCATCCCACCCACCCCACGCACAGGCGTGTTCCAGGTGACGCTTGACACGCTCGAGGAGGAGACGCTTGGCACGCTCGAGGAGGAGACGCTTGGCACGCTCGAGGAGGAGACGCTTGGCACGCTCGAGGAGGAGACGCTTGGCACGCTCGAGGAGGAGACGCTTGGCATGTTCGAGGAGGAGACGCTTGGCACGCTCGAGGAGGAGATTCACGAGCCCCTATCCTCCCAGCTTCAGCAACCCTATCCTTCCCTCCCTTCCCCCCCTCCTCCCCCTCCTCCCCACCCCACGTGCAGGCGTGTTCCAGGTGACACTTGGCACGCTGGAGGAGGAGATTCGCGAGCTGCCTTGTGCAACCGCAGCCTCCCTCCCACACCCCTCTTTGCTCATGATGCTCGTTCTTCTCCTGCAACTGCACTCCATCTGCTGCTGCACGCGTCCCATGCCATGCCATGCCATGCCATGGCATGGCATGGCATGGCATGCGCAGGCGTGTTCCAGGTGACGTTTGACACGCTGGAGGAGATATGTGAGCCCTCTAACCGCATCTCTCTCCACCCCACCCCACCCCACCCCACCCCACGCACAGGCGTGTTCCAGGTGACGTTTGACACGCTCGAGGAGGAGATTCGCGAGATCAGGGACCAGCTCAACGGTAACCAGGTGGGTGCTGGTGGGGGTGGGTGCTGGTGGCGGTATATCAGTTTCTGATCGTCACCGCGCTTGTGAGCTGGCGTACCAAGACGACCTGCTGCCCTTCTGCCGTCCTATTCGTCCCCCTCCCCACCCACCCCCATCCCATCCCACGTTCCCTCTCCCCCTACTTTCCCCACTCCTCCCCCCTCGCCCCCCCCTCACCACCAGAAGACGGGAGCCAAGCCAGCAGCGCCAGTCCCCCCCGTGGTGCAGCTGGCGAAGCTGAGAGTGCAGGTGGAGGAGCTCTCGTCCCAACACGCGCTGCTGCCCTTCTCCTGTCCCATTCCCCCCTTCCTATTCCCCTCCCCCCCTGCCCCCGTCCCATGCCTCCTCTCCCCCCTCAACACCAGAAGACGGGAGCCAAGCCGGCAGCGCCCGTCCCCCCAGTGGTGCAGCTAGCGAAGCTGAGGGTGCAGGTGGAGGAGCTGTCGTCGCAACACGCGCTGCTGCGCGGGAAACTGGACTCGCTTGTTGCTGCCGCTGGGGGTGTGAGTGCTGGTGCTGAAGGGAGTGCTGCTGCCGCTGCTGCCGCTGCTGCTGCTGTTGCTGCTGCTGAAGGGAGTGCTGCTGCTGGTGTGAACAGCACGGGTGGGGTTGCTGTGCAGCAGGCGGTGGGGAAGCTGCTGGAACCGCTGAAAGCGAGGGTGCAGCGCGATGAAGAGCGGTTGAAAAGGGTGCAGGAGAGGGTGGACGTGGTTGAGAAGGAGCTGGCGGATAGCACGGAGGTGCTGCAGCAGCTGCAGGTCGAGGTGGTAACTGGGGGGAAAGGTGAGGTTCTTGCCTCCGTGCCTCACCCCTAGGTGAGGTCGGCTCTGCAGCAGCTGCACATACATTCCCTCTCACGGAAGTTGCACACACATTCTCTGTTGTCTCTCCTCTCGTTTCCCCTTGCTCCCCTTATCCTTTTTTCCCCGTGGTCCCTCTCCTTCCATGATCTGTGTTCTCATCTCGCTTTTCTATCCCTGCAATGTCTCCCTCCAACCCACAAAACCCACCCCACTCACCCAAAACCCACTCACTCACTCAGTCACACCAAACCCAGCAGCAGCATCAGTCGCAGCAGCAGAAAATCCTCGCGTCCACAGGCGCGCACCTCACATATCAAAGACAAGTCAACCCACAACCACAGCGCATTTAACACCTGACCAACCTGCAGTGATGGTTGCTTTGCTCCCTCTTATCATCCCATCTCTCCTTTTTCTCGTTTTTTTTTGTCTCCTCGCCTTCTCTCCCTCCTACCCCCTCACATTCAGTCGCACCAGACCCAGCAACAGCATCCGTTGCAGCAGCCGAAATCCCTGCAACCACAGCAGCACTTGCAACACCCAACGTTCCTGCAGCAACGGTCATCCCCGCATCAGACGAGCTTGCAGCAGTTGTAATCCCAGAGCCAACGGAACCTGCAGCAGTTGTGGTTCCACCACCAAATAAACCCGCAGCAGTACCAGCATCAAAAGAGCCTACTGCGGTTATTATCCCAGACGCCACCGAGCCTGCAGCAGTCGTAATCCCAGAGCCTACGGAACCCGCTGCAGTCGTCGTTCCTGAAACAACCGTACCCGCAGCGGTCGTTTTTCCAGCACCAAAGGAACCTGCCGCTGGCGCGGTTGCTGTTCCCGAAGCAGGCGAACCCGCAGCTGTTGTGGTGCCTTCTCCGAACGAACCTGCTGCGGTTGTCATTCCCGAACCTGCGGACCCTGCAGCGGTTGTTGTCCCGGTTCCCTCTGATGCTCCCGGTCCTGATGCTCCTGCTGTTGCTGGTGCGATGGGAGGGACGGTTGGAGGAAAGGAGGGCGAGGCGGAAGGGGAAGAGGAGGAGGGGAAGGATGATGCTGACTTAGGCCCTCCAGAGGATTACCCAGGCGAAGGGGATGTGGGAGAGGAAGGAGAGGAGGGAGGAGAGGAGGAGGGAGAGGAGGAGGAGGGAGGAGAGGGGGAAGCAGGGACGGGTGAGCAGGTTGGGAAGAAGAGTGCTGGGACTGCAGGGGAGACAGAGGCGCGAGGTGAAGAGGAGGCGGGGGAGGGGGAGAGGGAGGTGGGGGAGGAAGGGGAGGAGGAGGGAGGGGAAGTGGGGGAGGAAGGGGAGGAGGATGAGTCACGAGCAGTGGGAGGAATAGATGTGGCGGAGGTGCAGCAATGCGGCGATGAGGTGAGATGGAGTGACCTTTGAGTTGACTGAAAAGTCAGAGGGAGAGGATGAGTTACCTGCAACGCCAGGAGGCATAGATGTGGCAGAGGTGGGGATGGGGATGGGGATAAGGATGGGGATGGGGATGGGGATGGGGATGGGGATGGGGATGGGGATGGGGATGGGGATGGGGATGGGGATGGGGATGGTGATGGTGATGGGGATTGGAGTAGTGCGGAGATGAGGCGAGGTGATGGACGAATGGTGTGGTGGTGGTGATTGAAGTGCCTGTGTTGGCACTTTCCTTCCTTCCCTCCCTCTTTCTCACCGCTATTCCTCTCTTTACTTCTCTCCTTAAGTCCTGTCCCCTCCGTTCCCCCCCACTCCCCTCCACCCCACTCGTGTGGATCTCTCATCCTTTCTCCTCCTCTCTTCGCTGGCCCTTCCTGTTGGTGTTTCTCCCATCTCAACCCCTTTCATGCATCCCAATCCCTCTCATCCCTCCCAACCACTCCCATCCATCTCAACCACTTTCATCCCACTCATGCCTTCTCTTCTGCCTCGCACCCTCTGGCCTTCTCACCTCTGACCGTCTCACCCTTTATCCATCAATGCATGCCATGCCAGACTCTCGAGCTCCCACCAGAAGCCAAGGCATGGAAGCAGCGCTCTCTTGTGCAGATCACACCAGACCTGCAGCTCTTCAGGTGAGCGCTGCTGCTGCTGCTGCTGCTGCTGCGTTGCGTTGCGTCTTTTGAGGCACCTCAAAAGGCAGCTCTTCAGGTGAGCGCCGACTTTCGAGTCGACTCGATAGGCGCTCTCTCTCTCTCGTGCAGATCACTCACCGGACCTGCAGCGCTTCAGGTGAGCACAGCTGCACCACTGCTGCTGCCGCTCTGCGTTGCATTCTGGAGCCCTTATTTCCAAGGTGACTTTTGAGTCGACTCAAATTAGTCACCCCGTTTTGAGTCGACTCAAATTAGTCACCCCGTTTTGAGTCGACTCAAATTAGTCACCCCGCCCGCACTGCGTTGCATTCTGGAGCCCTTATTTCCTCGTTAGAACGAGGCGACTGTTGAGTCGACTCGAAAGTCACCTCGTACAGCATGCCGGAACTCTCTCGTGCAGATCACACCAGTCCTGCAGCTCTTCAGGTGAGCGCTGCTGCAGCAGCAGCAGCAGCATTGACCCTCACACCATAGCACTCGTGGGGCTGCTACCTCCAGCTGTCCCCACCCTGCCTCTCGGGCTGCTTCTTCCGCCAAACTGACGGCTCACATGCCCCTCCTCCCCCCTCGCCCATCCCTCTCCTCTTCTACCTGCTCCCCCATCCCTCCTCAACCTTCGCTCTCCCCTCTGCCCCTCCTCCCCCCCTTCTCTCCGCCCTCCTCTCTCTCTCTCCCCCTTCTCCTCCGCCACAGTGCATACCGGTACAACCCGCACACCATTGCGATGGTGGGCTTGCTGTCTCCTGACGTCCCCACTCTCCCTCTAGACGACTGCCTCTTCCGCCAGTTGGACGGCTCCCAGCCGATCGCAGGCTCGCTGCTGCGCCTGCAGGTGGAGGTGAGGCGAGGCTGCTGGGTTGCTGGGTTGCTGGGTTGCTGGGTTGCTGGGTTGCTGGGTTGGGTGGGCTGCTGGGTTGCTGGGTTGGGTGGGCTGCTGGGTTGTGCAGGGGGGCGCGCATAGGGCTGGGCAGTGTTTCTCTGGATCCACTAGGACAGCAGTGCAGTTTTGAGGCGCCTAGGGCAGCACTAGGACAGCAGTGCTCTGGTTTAGAGGCGACCGCCGCGACCCCGCGATTCCCTCGTGCCTCCCTCCTTCCTCCCTCCCTTCTTTTCCCCCTCCCCACCTTCCCTCCTCGCTGCTTTACCCCTTCCCTTCCTCCCTCTTTTCCCCCTCTCTCCCTCGACCCCCCCTTAGAGCACCTCGGCAGTGGTGCTGAGGTTAACACTGCCATTGCCTCTACTCACCCACCTTCCCCCTCCTTTCCCCCCTCCCTCCGCCCCACCTTTCTCCTCCCCTGCTTCCTTCCTCGGTCCCCTCTCAGAGCACCCCGGCATGGTGCTGAGGTTTGAAGGCGGTACAGTGCTCCCACCTTGTGGGGGCTATCTCGAATGCACTGCTGCTGCTCAGCATTCTCCTTTCCCCTCTCCCACCTCCCCCACCTCCCCTGTTCCCCCTTTCCCCATCGCCCCCTCAGAGCACTGCAGCAGTGGTGCTGAGGTTCGAAGGAGACACTGTTCTCCCACCCTGTGGGGGCTATTTGGAATGCACTGCTGCTGCTGGGGGTGCTGCTGCTGCTGCTGGAGATGCTGGAGCTGCTGCCGGGGCGAAGGTGGTTGTGTACACTGAAGGCCGAGGGGAGGTGAGTGCAAGAGAGGGAGGGGAGAAAAAGGGGTGTTCATTTCTGGAGAGATTGTGTGTGACGGAAGGAGGTAGGCAAACGGGGAGGCGAGGCGAAATGAATGTTTTTTAAAAGAGAGGGGATGGGGAGGGGGTTGTGTCGGTTAACAAAATATAAGTCAGTCAAGGCCAAAGTGGTCAAGCACAAAATCGACTCCACTGGGGATCGAACCCAGAATCTCTGGTTCCGTAGACCAGCGCCTTATCCATTGGGCCATGGAGTCATATACATCTAGATTTTCTTTCTTCCCAACAATTTACCCCTCTTTCAGACCCCTCCCCATGCCCCTCACCATCTGCTTGCTCCTCAGAACAAGCAGCATATTCCCTTCTCTGCAGCCCTATCGTTCCACTCTTCCCTCCCTTCCACAGCTCATCACCCTTCCTTCACCCCGCTCCCTTGCCCCTCACCATCTACTCGCTCCCCCCTTTTCTTCCCTTCTTTCCCCCCGATTTTTTTCTTTCCCCACAGCTCTCCACCCCGCCCTCACCCCTCCCCACTCCCCTCACCATCTGCTCGCTCCTCATTACAAACGGCGTTTCCTTGTCCTTCCCTGCACTGCACCCTTTTCATTTCATCCCACTGTTCCCTCCCTTCCCGACAGCTCTCCACTCCCCCCTCGCCCCTCCCCACTCCCCTCACCATCTGCTCGCTCCTCATAACAAACGGCGTTTCGCCGCCCCGCCTGCGCGAGTGGCTGGACTACCACCGGGTGGCGGCGGGGGCGGCGAGGTTTGTCCTGTACCGGCACAGCAAGAGCCACTGGCCTGCAGAGCTGCGGCAGGCAGTGGGGGAATACGAGCGGATGGGGATGGTGGAGGTGACAGATATTGTGGGGACAGACAAGGAGCAGGAAAAGGTGAGGAGATTCCTGCTGTGTGTTCTGTTGTTGAGGGGATGTGTCTCCTGCTCGAGCACAGGGCAAGCAAGGCAGTGTTTGGTGGGGAGGGAGTGGTATGAGGAGATGGTTATGGTGGAGGTGAGAGGGTTAGCAAGAAGAAGAGCAAGAGCCACTTGCTGCATGAGGTGCGGCAGGCAGGTGGGGAATACGAGCGGATGGGGATGGTGGAGGTGACAGATACTGTTGGGGCAGACAAGGACCAGGAGAAGGTGAGGAGGGTGGGGAAGACAAGGAGGATGAAGCATGGAGGGAGGTGGTGTGTGTGTTGTTGAGTGGGATGTTTGTGTGTCACTGCACTAGTACAGGGCAAGCAAGGCAGTGGGAGGGTGGGGGGTTGTGGGGGGAGTCTGGTATACGGGGATGGGGATGGTGGGGGTGAGAGGCACAGCAAGAGCCACTTGCTGCATGAGCTGCGGCAGGCAGTGGGGGAATACGAGCGGATGGGGATGGTGGAGGTGACAGACATTGTTGGGACAGACAAGGTCCAGGAGAAGGTGGAGACAAGGGGGATGCGGGGGGGATGGGGATGAGGGAGGGATGAGGGGGATGTATGTTGGTGCATGAGGATATGTGGGGATGGTGGGGATTGTGAGGATGGGATGGTGGGGATTGTGAGGATGGGATGGTGGGGATTGTGAGGATGGGATGGTGGGGATTGTGAGGATGGGATGGTGGGGATTGTGAGGATGGGATGGTGGGGATTGTGAGGATGGGATGGTGGGGATGGTGGGGATGGTGGGGACTGTTGGAGGTGACTGACTCATATATCCTTTTTTCTTTCCCCCTTTCCACCCCCTTCCTCATACCCTCCCTCTCCCCTCCGACACCCTCCCCCCTCCCACCCCCTCTGCCCTCCAAACTCCTCTCCCCTCCCTCCTTTCACCCCTCCCCATGCCAGTTCCTCGCCCTACAGGACTGTCTCTACCGCACCTCTCTCTCCTCTACCTGGACCCTCCCTCTCGACCTAGACGAGTATCTCTCCGCCTCGCCCCCCGCCACCCTCCCCTCGCTCCTCTCCGCCTCCTCCCCCTCCTCCCTCGCCGCCTCCCCCTACCTTTCCCTGGGTGCAGTGCGGTGGAGCACGGAGGTCTGTCTGGAGGAGGCAGATGTGGTGAAGGTGGAGAGAGAGGGGATTGGGGGGGAGGGAGGAGAGGAGGATGAAGCTGATGCTGCTGGTGATGGTGGTGGCAGGGGTAATAGCAGCAGCACTGGTGCTGTATTTGCGGTGGAGAGGGCAGTGTTTAGAGAGCCGGCTCCTGTGTGCAATGCTGATGCGGCAGGGGAGGCAGCAGTGGGAGCGGCAGGAGGAGGAGGAGGAGAGGTGGATGCGGCATTGTGTGAGGGCGATGCGGGCACACGGCGGGTCATTGTTGACCCGCGCAAGGTGAGGATGGGGGTGGGTTGTGGGGTTAAGGAAGGGGCACTATTGGGAGGACCAATGCGCTTCCTGTGAGTTTGAGTGCAAGTGTGGGGGCTATGCCGCAACACGGTGAGTCAGTATCTACCCATGCAATGCAACGCCCGCAACAAACCTCAACAGCCGAGTGAGTATGTTTTTTGAGAAGTCTAAAAGACCAGCCTTCTCCCAAACCCTCCTTCCCCCCTGTACATCCTCTCCCCATCTCTACCCCAGGTGCCCCTCGGTTCTCGCTCCACCAGGCTACATACATTCGCAGCACCCGACTCAACGCCAACATCCCATAAGAGCAATCCAATCCACCATGCCAAGCTTCTCAAAGCATCCTCTTCCTATCCCCGCTCCTCGCCTTTTGAGGCGCCTCAAAAATCGTCTCAAAAATTTTGAGGCACCTCAAAAATCAATCCAATCCACCACGCCAAGCTTCTCAAAGCATCCTCTTCCCCCCCGCTCCTCGCCCTATCCCCTCCCCTCCCTTCCCTTCCCCAGCTGTCCCTCCTCTCCCTCCACTGCGGCACACCCCCAAGGGCGGCACCCCTCTCAACGCCAAGCCAACACACAGGCGCAAGTCAACAGAGTCAACCGCATTCTTCACCCTTCCCCAGGTGTCTCAAGCGTCAAGCAGGCGGGGCGGCTGTGCGGCAGCGAGGTGCAGCAGAGGGGTGATGCTGCTGATGTCAATTTCAGTGGGTTCAAAACTCGCCTCTTTCTCTTCTCCCCGTCCCCGCCCTTCCCCAGGTGGCCCTAGTCTCACTCCACCACCCCATATCCTCCAAGGGCGGTGCTACTTTAAACGCCCACACGCAGGCGCGAGTGAACCGTTTCCTCGGCCTCTCCAGTCTCAAGCAGGCGGGGAGGCTGTGCAGCAGCGCAGTGCAGCAGACAGGCGACGCTGCTGCCGCTGCCGTCGATGCTGCTGCTGCTGGTGCCCCGCGGGGGTCTGTGGAGAGCCTAGAGGTGGCTGAGGGGGCGAGGCTTGCCAGAGAGTGTCCGATAGAGAAGACCAGGGAGGTGAGTGGAACAACGCTGGTAGGATGGGGAGAAGAGGGGAAGGGGTTGCCCCGCGGGGGTCTGTGGAGAGCCTAGAGGTGGCCGAAGGGGCGAGGCTTGCCAGAGAGGTGAGTTTGAGTGGGGAGGAGGATGGTGAGTGGAACGATTGGGGTGGATGGGGGGAATAGGTTGCCCGGAGGGGGTCCGTGGAGAGCCTAGAGGTGGCCGAAGGGGCGAGGATTGCCAGAGAGTGTCCCATTGAGAGGAACACTGAGGTGAGTTTGGTTGGCCAAGCAAGGGGTAGGGGTAGGTGCGGCAAGGGAGAGTGTGCTGCTGCTGCTGGGGCCCCGCGGGGGTGTGTGAAGAGCCTAGCGGTGGCCGAAGGGGCGAGGCTTGCCAGAGAGTGTCCTATGGAGCGGAACAGAGAGGTGAGTGGAGCAACGTTGGGGAAGGGGGTGCTGATGGTGCTGCAGGTGCAGGGCAGCGAGGTAGGTGGTAGTGACTGACAGGTTCACTCACTGGGTGTGTTCCCAAGGAGGGAGGAAGAGAGGCGAGTGGAGCAGCATCACATCACGTTGGTTGAATGGACGGTGGGGGAGGGGACCTGTTTTGAGGCGTCTCAAAGCATATCGTTGTTCACTGCGGTGTGGGAAGTGGCTTGTCTGATGGGGAGAGCTGATGGGGAGAGCTGATCACTGCAGCCAAAGTGGCAGGAGAGAAGCACAGGGCATGGGTGGATGTCCACTTGAGAAGGGGCCAGCAATTCATGCGTGAGAGACCCTCAACATCTACCCTTATGGTGTATGCGTGTCTCCCCCTGCACTGTCTCCCCCTGCACTGTCTCCCCCTCCAATCTCTGCTGCTGTACTCCCTCCTTGCAACCTTCGTATCTCAATCCCCTCGCTCCCGTTCCCTCAATGTAATCTTCTTCCTTTCTGTGCTGCCTGTGTCAACCGGATGTGACCGCATGTGACCTCGTTGGACTGCGTGTGACTGCGTGTGACCGCGTGTGCGTGTGTGTGTGTGTGTGTGTGTGTGTGTGTGTGTGTGTGTGTGTGTGTGTGTGTGTGTGTGTGTGTGTGTGTGTGTGTGTGTGTGTGTGTGCAGTGCGCCGTTTCCTTAACGCCGTGACATCATCCATCTTGCACCTGGGGACCGACGCTGAAGCACATAGCATCCCATCCCGTCAATTCTTTAGGCGCCTAAAAAATAGCCGACGCTGAAGCACACACCCAAGTGCACATCCCATCTCTTCCCATCTCATCCCGTTAATGTTATTCGAGTTGGTACTACTTGATCTGGTATTCGACGTGACAAGGACTTGCTTCCGAGGCGCCAAACGCTGCAGGGGCACAAGCACATCATGCTGACATGGCATGCATCATGCTGACATGGCACACGTCATGCTGACAGGGCGCACATCATGTGGCATGGCGGGCATGGTTCACGCCATGCTTTGGTTGCTCATGCTTCTTTCAGCGAACTTGTTAGCCAGCCACCTTACGTTCATTCTCTAGCCCTTGGGGATGGCTGAACCACCTACCTACTCTAGTTTCTATTGATCTATCACTGTTCCCCTTCTCAAGCAAACCTGTCACGCCCCATTGCAAGCAGTTACCAGCCCTACTGTGCATAACCCATATGCTTTCCAGCTGTGAGGGCCAGGTGGTCTAGGCATAGGCTCTAGCTTGCAGCAGCAGCCATGGATTCCTGAAGACATAATTCTTGTGAGGCTGGCACTGTCAGTGGCAAACAGGTGGCACAAACTTTCTGAGCGTTTCAGGACCTGCAAGGGGGCAACAATTTGAATCAACCAGCACATGTTTTCTTCAAGACATCTCTGGGTGAGAAAATGTTGTGCTTTTCTCCTGGAGAAGGGGTGTGAATGTTGGAGACATGAGAGGCAGGGCGGGTGGGGGGGAGTCAGTTACTGGAAGAGGAGGAACGAGTTGTGGAACAGAGGAAGGGGGAGGGAGAGCAGTAGGGGTGGGGGACTAAGAGACCTGAAGACGAGGTGAGTGGAGAGGAGAGGGGAGGGAGGGGAGTAAGGGGACATCATGGCACAAAGGACACCTCTCGTGTCCAACATCAAACCTAACGTGCTGTAATGTGCCGACTAGTTGCCCCTTGAATCATCTTTGAGGCGCCTACATGGCAGAAAGGACACCTCTCGTGTCCAGCACCAAGCCTAACGTGCTGTACTGTACTGTGCCGATTAGGTGCCCCTTGGGATCGTCGCGGCGCTTCCAGGCGTAAACGACTTCGGTGATTCTGACATCACGCTCCCGTGGTACAATGCACGAGGACGGATGGATTAGTACCAACAGTAGGCTAGCAGAGTTGCCGCCGACACTGAGAGTGGAGAGCTCCTGTCGGTGGGCGGAGTAGCCTGGAGTTCTTCTGTGGCGGTGTCTTCTAGGTTTTGGCCCGCCCTTGGCGGGTAGGGAGTGAGAACCGTCTGACGAATCGCTCCGTAACGGCGGCAACATTTCACTCTGGGCGTAAAAACGCCGTTTTTTAGTCGGTCCAATGAACGGGCGTCTTGCTGCTGATCACGTGCTGCAGCACATGAAACGCGGGAGTGCAGTGCTGCGCCGCGGATCGAGGAGCTCTAGACCAGACCAGGGGACCTGCTAGATAGATAGCGGCAGTCCAATGTTTTGGGGGGCTTTGTCTGTAGATAGCGGTGCGTGTGGTTGCCGCGAGTGGTGGATTCTCGGATCGGATCCGGCTCGCGCAATTTTGGCTATGCCAAGCTGCATTTCGACCCGAACCGCGAGCATGTGCTGTTCGTTCGTGTGTCCAAATTCGGGTCATGGCTCTACTAGGAGCCAGCATGTCCAGATCCAGCTGGCATGTTTTGTGCCCAGTCGAGGCGCGGCTTCTATGCACGAAAATATGAATTTTCGCCACTTTCCCGACATTTCGCCAGCAGCCGCAGCTTGAGCAGGTTTCTCTCTGGCAGCAGAGAGTGCGTGCGGTCCCCGTGGCAGCACTTCTCCCGAGCTCCTTATCCCTTCAGCTTTCAGATTCCCTCACAGCAACATACCTGATCTCTGATCACCCGCATCTGGACGGTGGAGATTCGGTATAAGTGCTCTCAATGCATTCCCACAAGAGCGGTTATCTGCATATGGACTCCACGTTTTCCAGCTTCATCACGAACATTGCATTTAGCACATGATAAAATCTACTCTTCTACACCCCTTCGTGTATCGCGAGGAGTGGTGTACAGTACACTACGCATACTCCCGTCCCTTCCTGAAGAACCGCACGACTCGGCGTCCGAACCGCATTTCTGATTAGCAATTTTCGGTTCGAGTCAGGACACTCTCGACCTTCCCAGCTCACGGTGAGAGAAGCAGCATCCACCAGCAGCAGCATCCAACATAAAACCCAACACAAAATCTAAACTTTCTCATCAAGCTTCGAGTATCCATTATTCTGTTGATCACTTGTTGATCAACGACTAAACACTCTGTCCTTCTGCATCTTCAGTCTGAGACTCCACCTTTTAACAGTAATGGCTCCGATCGCTCGTGGCGCTGTGCTCCTGCTCGTGGCCCTGTCGCTGGCCACGTCCGTCTCTGCCGTCATCAGTCCCTTCTGGGGTGGAGCGCAGCCCCTTGAGCCGGTACGTGTCATTTTGCAACACCCTGAGCTCAGGGAAATCTGGCAGCACGATGATTCTTTCTGCAGCGTTCTCACAAACAAAACCTTCTGGCGGTGTGTTCGCTTTTTGACGCGTCGGATCTTTACCACTTATGCCTCTCTAAACCCATTTACAATTACTCGCACCCATATGCTTTCAAAATCGCATAGTTAATCTCGAACGCGGCACGTTGAGTCAAATGGGCGGCGCTGATCATTTTGTGGAAAGCGATGCGGTAGTTTTGTATCTACCACTCACCACATGATCGTTCCCTCTTTTTTCCCAAACGCGATACGCAATTCCTGCAGGTGGCGAAGGCGCTGATCGCCGTGTGGAACAAGGCGGCCAAGACAAAGCCCGCGCTGCTGGTGGGGCCCTACGATCCCTCAGGCTCTAGCAACGGTATCAAGGGCTTCTACAACGGTACCTACCTCATTGGCGCCGCCTCCGAGCCCATCACCGCCACCGTGGAAGGCCAGAATTCCGGTGTTGCGAAAATCACTCTTCCCGTCGCCGTGGCCGCATACAACTTCTTCGTCCACGGGAAGAGCATTGTTCTCAGCGTGGCCGACACTCACGACATTTACAGCGGCAAAGTTTCCGATTGGAGCGGTATTCCCGCCGCGAAGGGCAAGATTACCGGCCCCATTTTCCGCTATGCGCGCTCCGATAAGGTCGGCACGACGGCCATCATCCAGCAACTGTGGGCCAAGGCGGGCACGGGCTACACCGGCAAGACTGACGGCTCGCCGCTTACTTTCGGGGGTCTCCTGACGGTGGCGTCGAACGCCGCGATGTGCAACGCGGTGGTGGCGAAGGTGGGCGCGATCGGGTACGCGCACGTGAGCGCGTGCGCGGCGCAGGTGAAGAAGTTCAACACCAAGATCGCCGAGGTGGCTCTCAAGAACGCGCTCGGGCAGGCGCTCACGTCCAAGACCTGGGTCGCGACGAACGCGCTCAACGGCGCTACCCGCCCCGCGCCAGACGCTTCGTGGGACCAGGTGGATCTGATCTGGAAGTCGATCGCCAGGGCGCCCGCCGCTGTCTCCATGCAGTATGTGTTTGTGAAGAAGGTTCTGCCCAAGAATGGCGGCGCCGTCGCGAAGCAGTTTCTCGTGAGCTCGCTCGCCAAGTTTAAGGGCTCGGCTGTCGCGAATGGGTTCAACTTTGTGCCGCCCGCTTGGTTCAACCCGTCCGCTAACGCTGTCAAGGCCGTCACCGTGTCAACCTCTTAGAGCGGCGTGAAGGGGGGGTGCGGAAGGGGAGAGGAGAGATTGGGCTCCACTGTGTTCCGAAGGTGATAGGAGGAGGAGGAGGATGGGTCAAACAGGTGGATGTTCAGCCAGACTTGGGTTTATAGAGCGTTGGATGTGTGGGTGGTAGGCGGATTCCACCTGGGGGTGTGGGTGATGGACGGATAGAAAGGCGGGTACTACCTAGGTGGTTGTGTGGGGGGGGGATGTGGGGGGGTTGCAGGAAGGGAGAGGGAAGGATAGAAAGGCTAGCTGCTTCTGTGAAGTTGTTTGCTTGTCTTTCTGCATATATATTGGAGGATTCCTGCACCACATTCTGCTCGTATCATCTCACATTTCAAGTCTCTCTTTCCTTCACAGCTTCCGCACCACATCCACTTTTCCTTCCTCTATGCTCTTGCTTTCCTCCCCCTGCACCAATCATGGTTCCCCTACCCTCCACAAAATCTCTTCCACTCTCCCACCCACGCGCTTGTGAACCCATCACCCTCCTCCCTTTCACGGCACCCACTTACACCCATCCGTCGATTTGGAGGACGACTGAAAAGAGAGGGGCGACTGCATGCGTGACAGCAAAGTGAGTGGCTGCTGAAATTGCTGGTAAGAAATAATAATAGCTATGTTGTCAACCTTCCTGCAGCTGATGCACAACCCAGTCAGTAAAGGTTAGGCTGAATCATGGATTCGTGCTAATGATAAGCTAATAGATGGACGAACAATTGCAATAAAAATGCAATGTACAATTAACAGACATGCAGATAATCAGAAACAACAAAGCATCAGGGACTCTTGAAAAGGACCTCGTCATATGCACACATGATAGCCGATCCCAGCACTGACCACCTAGCTAAGAAGTACAAGATGTGACGACACGGTCCTCTCTAGAGCACTCGAATCATAGCAGCCTGGGCGCAGGGCATGCGAAGCAGCTGCTCGGGAGCGTGGTTCAGCGTGCGGCTGAAAGTGACGAGGAAAACCGCCATGGCTGCGCCGCATGGTAGCACGGGAGTGGCGGGGACATTTAGACTAGCGCAGGTTGACGGCGGCAGGTGAAGCCTCAACCCTAATTGCTCTCAACGTATTACGTTTTAGTTGCGAAGCAGATGATAGTGTGTGTGTTGGGTTTTGGAGAGGACGGCGGAGGACAGGACAGCAGCTAGACTGCATGAGAGGGTCATGCGTAAAGAGAGTCTATGATAACGTAAAGAGAGTCTGTGATAACGTAA